GAGAGACCCTTCTCAAGGGAATAAAGCAGACTGATGGCACAGGACAGTCTGATCTCCCCCACGTGCTTGGGAACATACACCACAGAAAGAGGGAGAGAGGGAGAGATGGACATGAAGAGACAGAGGCAGACAGAGAAAGAGGCAGGAAGAATATTACGGCAGCACAATGGGAAGAACTGAGGGCAGCTCCTTGAGTAATCAAGCTTGTAAGCTGGAAGAGCAGGTGGTTATCTGAAGAACAAGCAGTTATCTGGCCCAAAGTAGGAGTTTAGAAGCTAGGGAAACAGGGTCAGAAAGAACAAAGACCAGAAGCTGTTGGAATGAGAACTTAATTTCCTTCTTGGAAACTTCCATATCCCTAAGGCATGTGGGTGGCTTTGGACACTAGCATGTGCTTCCACACTTGCAACCTTACTCTGAAAAGTGAGCCAAACATGACATTTGGGATTTCACTTTCTGACATGTAAGTTTCCCTTTCTGCTTCCAGCACCAAGTGGATTTTCTACAGCTGAAGATGAGCTCCAGAATTACAAAGCCAGGGACTCCCATATGGGTAATCAAAAGTGGTATTCCTTATGGGAGGATGCCTCCCTCAGCCTTGATGCAGGAGGGAGGAGCTTGGTCCTGCCTCAACTTGATATTCTATGATTTGTTGACTCCCATGGGAGGCCTTACCCTTTCTGAGGAGTGAATGAGGGGAAGGGAGAAATGAGGTTGTGGAAGGGAACGGGAGGAGATGAGAGAGGGGAAACTGTGATTGGTATATAAAATAAAATTAAAAATTTAATTTAAAACATGTTTCACAAGCCGGGCATTGGTGGCTCACGCCTTTAATCCCAGCACTCGGGAGGCAGAAGCAGGCGGATCTCTGTGAGTTCGAGGCCAGTCTGGTCTACAAGAGCTAGTTCCAGAACAGCCTCCAAAGCCACAGAGAAACCCTGTCTCGAAAAAAAAAAAAGTGTTTTCAGTCTACTCTTGGGGCCATTTGGAGGAAGGGCAAGTTCTTCTGAGAATTAGAAAGTTTTCCAAAGAAATGGGATTCCTGCCAACTTCCAGAAAGCTACACTTTTGGATATACAAATGGCAGACAGAGGTGTGTGTGTGTGTGTGTGTGTGTGTGTGTGTGTGTGTGTGTTGTACATGTGTGTGTTATATGTGAATGTGAGTATGCTTACAGGCCAGAGGAGGACATCAGGTGTCTGTCTGTCACTCTCCACCCTATTCCCTTGAGACAGGGTCTCTCACTGAACTTGGGGCTAGGCTGGTGGTCAGTGAGCCACAATGATCCTCCTTCTGCCCACCAGGTTGACAGGTTTATAGACATACACTGTTACACCCTGCTTTTCACATGGATTTTGGGGATTCAAACTCAAGTCTTCATGCTTGGGCATCTCATGTTTTACACCCTGAGCCATTTTCTAAAAACATTTAGGTATGTACTAATGTTCAGAGCTTGAATAGTAACTATGGATATGAGTGTCATAGCTGGAAATCAAACACTGCTACTGGGTCACCTCTCTCAGAACAAATGTCACATCTCTGTCACTCAAATCTGAACTACTTGAATTTACATCTAGACAACCAGTAGGAAAAACCCTATCTCCAGTGGGGTAAACTGCAGAGGGAATGTGTGGCTAAAGGTGTTGGCTGGTTTTGTTTTCTATGGTTTTGTTTTCACCTTTGTAATTCATAAGAAACTTGTGAAGAAACCATTGAAAACTTCTATTCCTCCTGCCTCCACCGCCTAAGGGCTAAAATTACAGATGTGCATGATGATTTTTTACAGAAAATATGATCACTATGACAGAAACAAAATAATTTCTTCTTAGCCCCTTACTTTTTGCACAATTATTAGTTGCTGTCAGATTTTTAAGGTGGGAACAATTTATTCTTTTTAAATTTTATTTTTTAATTTAAGAGAGGAGAAATGGCACAGTAGCTAATTGACCCAGATTCAATTCCTAGCGCCCACATGATGGCTCACAACCATCTGTAACTCCAGTTCTGGGGAATGTGGAGTCTGATGCCCTCTTCTGGCCTTCTCAGGCACTGCAGGAATGTGGTATACAAGATAACACATGCAGGCAAACACCCATACACTTAAAATAAATTTTAAAAATTTAAATTAAAAAGCTGGAGCTCCATAGTGACACTTACCCAGTAGAAGTAGAGAGACAAGCTGTTAGAACAGGTAGAGGTTGGATAGGCAGGATCAACATAGTAAAAATGGCAGTCTTACCAAAAGCAATCTTCAGATTCAATGCAATCCCCATCAAAATCCCAGCACAATTCCTTCACAGAGCTTGAAAGAACAATACCCAACTTTATATGGAAAAGCAAAAAAAAAAACGGGATAACTAAAACAAACCTGTAAAATAAAGAAACTTCCAGAAGCATCACCATCCCTGACTTCAAGCTCTACTATAGAGCTATAGTAATGAAAACAGCTAGGTATAGGCACAAAAACAGACAGGTAGACCAATGGAATCGAATTGAAGACACTGATATTGATCCACACATCTCTGAATGTCTGATTTTTGACAAAGAAGCTGAAATTATACAATGGGAAAAAGAAAGCATCTTCAACAAATGGTGCTGACATAACTGGATGCTGACTGTACAAGATTGCAGATAGATCCATATCTATTGCCCTGTACAAAACTTAAGTCCAAATAGATAAAAGACTTCAACATAAATTCAGCCACACTGACCCTCTTAGAAGAGAAAATGGGAAGTACCCTTGAGTTAATTGGTACAGGAGACTGCTTCCTAAACATAACTCCAGTAGCACAGACACTGAAATCGACAATTAATAAATATGACCTCCTGAAACTGAGAAGCTTCTGTAAGGCAAAGGACACAGTCAACAAGACAAAACAGCAGACCACAGAATGGGAAAAGATATTCATCAACCCCACATCTGACAGAGGGCTGATCTCCAAAATATATAAAGAACTCAAGAAGCTAGTCACCAAAACACCAAATAGTCCAATTAAAAAGTGGGATACAGAACTAAATGGAGAATTCTCAATAGAGGAATCTAAAATGGCTGAAAGGGGGCTGGAGAGATGGCTCAGCGGTTAAGAACACTGACTGTTCTTCCAGAGGTCCTGAGTTCAATTCCCGACAACCACAAGGTGGCTCACAACCACCTTGAATGAGATCTGGTGTCCTCTGCTGGCATGCAGGCAGAAGACTGTATACATAATAAATAAATAAAATCTAAAAAATAAAAATGAAATGGCTGAAAGGAACTTAAGAAATTGCTCAACATCCTTAGCCATCAGGGAAATGCAAACCAAAACAACTCTGAGATACCACCTCACACCTGTCAGAATGGCTAAAATCAAAAACACCAATGACAGTTTATGCTGGAGAGGATTGGAGAAAGGGGAACACTCTTTCATTGCTGGTGGGAAGCAAACTTGTATAGCCTCTTTGGAAATCAGTATGGCAGTTTCTCAGGAAAATGAGACTCAGTCTACCTCAAGATCCAGCAATTCCACTCTTAGGCATATACCCAAAGAATGCACATTCACAACACAAGGACATCTGTTCAACTATGTTCGTAGCAGTATTATTTCTAATAGCCAGAAACTGGAAGCAGCCTAGATGCCCCTCAACCAAAGAATGGATAAAGAAAATGTGATACATTTACACAATGGAGTACTATGCATCAGAGGAAAAAAACAATGAAATCTTGAAATTCACAGGCAAATGGATGGAACCAGAAGAAGCCATCCTGAACAAGGTAACCCAGACACAGAAAGACATGGTACGTGTGTACACACTCATAAGTGGATGTTAGACATAGAGCAAAGGATAACCAGCCTACAATCCACAACCCCAGAGAAACTAGGAAACAAGGAGGACCCTAAGAGAGACATATATGGGCCCCCGAAAAGGGGAAATAGACAAGATCTCCTGAGTAAATTGGGGAAGGGGAGGGAGGAAGGAGAAAGAGGAGGAGAGAAGATGAGGGGGGAGGAGAATCTGAGGGATCAGAAAGGGAAGAACGGAGAAGAAGGGAGCTATTGTGGGGTTAGTGAGAAACCTGGCACTAGGGAAATCTCCAGGGACCCACAAGGATGACCGAAACTAAGAATCTAAGCAATAGTGGAGAGGCTTCCTTAAATGCCCTTCCCCTATAATGAGATTGATGACTACTTTAAATGTCATCATAGAGCCTCCCTCCAAAAGCTGATGGAAGCAGAAGCAGAGATTCACAGCTAAGCAGAGCTTATCTCGTGGAATTCAGTTGTAGAGAGGGTGGAGTGATGATCAAATGGGTCAAGACCTTGCTGGGGAAGCCCACGAAGACATCTGACCTGAGCAAGTGGGGATTCCCTGTCTCCAGACTGACAGCTGGGGAACCAGCATAAGACTGAACCAGGACCCCTGGTTTTATCCCTAGTGCATGAATGGCTTTGGGAGCCCATTCCCCATGGAGGGATACTCGCTCAGCCTAGATATACAGGGAGGGCCTAGGTCCTGCCCCAAATAATGTGACGGACTTTGATGATCCTCCATGGGAGGCCTCACCCTCTCCTAGGAGTGGATGGGGAGTGAGATGTGAGGATGATGAGGAGAGTAGGAGGACAGGAGGGAGAGGGAACTGGGATTGGTATGTAAAATAAGACTGTTTTTAATTTAAATAAAAATTAATTTTAAAAAATTTAGTCATTAGCACCACTACAAAAATATCTCATTTTCAGAAGTAGTTGTTGATAAAACTAGTAACTAGTCTTTATTTTCTCGTTAGAAATAAGGAGATTTGGTAGTGACAATGAAGTAGAAATTGGGAGTCCCACAAGACCCAGAGAGTTGAGCACATCTTTGATTGGTATCATCACATCCTGATGTTCCACAGCAAGCTCAATGAACACCCAGAATCCTTCATTAGGGCACAAGCTCACCACAATATTCATCTTTGAATTTATTCACAATCTGAATTGGTTTCTGGTCCAGTGGGACTCAGCATCATAACAGATTGTTATACATCAAGCTCCACTTATGGTCCCATCTCTTGACACAACCTTTAGAAGGACTGGTTTTTCTGGTTGAAGAAGTCCTTGCTTGCCTAGCTTTAAAGGGATCTGGAACAGTTAAACAAGTACAAGAAACAGTCAATGAAATGGCACAAACCACAAACACAAACAAGAAACACACAAATGCCAAAGGAGCTTTACAAGCACACAAAAAACTACTTTTACTTCCAGTGTCCTTCCTTGGGTGATATCTACCTTTTTTGGAGATAGGGTTTATCACTGATCTGGAACTCACAAATTTTATAGTCTGGCTTCTTAGTCAGCCCCAGAAATCTTCAGGTCTCTGTCTCTTCGGTATTGGGATTACCAATGCATGTCAACACACCTGGTTGGTAATAGGTGACTTGTTTGGCTGGTTGGATGGTGGCTGGGGGTTTTTTGCTTGGCATGTTAGTGGATTGTTTGGTTTGTTTGTTTTCTTGCTTGCTTTGTTTGTTTTGTTTTGCATGGACTATGAGGATTAAGCTCAAATCCACATGCTTTGAAGGCTAGTACCTTACTGACCTGCCTATTTCCTGCAGCCCCTGAATTTAGACAATCTTTATACTTAGGTCTTTATAAAGTAAAAGAAGCAACTCTAAAACTGAAATACTTAAAGTCTCCAATAGGTATTGCAAAGAAACTCCTTGGACAAATAGAGCAATATACTTTTCTGCAAATCAATAGCCCAGTTGAAAAGCTAAACTCCCATAAAACATAAGCTGGTGAGGAAGCACACTGACCTGCGTTTCCTCACAAGGCTGGAAGGAGAAGTTCTGCAGGATGCTGACAAGAGCGACTTTCATGTTCATGACAGCAAACCTCATGCCAATGCAGTTCCTGGGTCCATCCCCAAAGGGCAGGTATGTGTAAGGATTGATGCTGCCCTGGTTCTTCTTGCTGAACCTGGTCCCAGAGGAGTGGATAAGACAAGTTAATGAAGCCTAAAACCCACAACAGTCACTTTCTGGACATTTTTTAGATACACATAAGCAATAATAAACAGGAAGCTTCCCTGAGCTGTTTATGAAAATTTGGGTATGACTTTTACAGTTTCTTGTATACAATGCATCGTGATCATTTTCCCCTCCCACATTAACTTCTTTTTTTATCATTTTTTATTTGAATTAGAAACAAGATTGATTTACATGACAATCCCAGTTCCCTTCTCCCTCCCCTCCTCCCCTACCACAACCCAACTAAAACCCTACCTATCACAAACCCTTTCTTCTATTCTTCACCGGACTCAACCTTTCTGCTCCCTCATGACCTTTGTATCCTTCCTCTTCTTTCCTTCTCATTCTTGTAGCTCCCTTGCCCTCTTCCCGTGCTCTCAGTTTGCTCAGGGGATTGTGACCCTTTCCCCTTCTCCAGGGGACAATGTTTGTCTCTTTAAGGGTCCTCCTTGTTTACTAGTTTCTCTGGCAGTGTGGATTGTAGGCTGGTAATCCTTTACTCTATGTCTAAAATCCACATATGAGTGAGCACATATCATGTTTGTCTTTTTGTGATTGGGTTACCTCGCTCAGAATGGTTTCTTCAAGTTCCATCCATTTTCCTGCAAATTTCAAGATTCCACTGTTTTTTTTCCACTGAGTAGTACTCCATTGTGTAAATGTACCACATTTTCTCTATCCATTCTTCAGTTGAGGGGCATCTAGGCTGCTTCCAGTTTCTGGCTATTACAAATAGTGCTGCTATGAACATCGTTGAACAGATGACCTTGTTGTATGAATGTGCTTCTTTTGGGTATATGCCTAGGAGTGGAATTGCTGGATCTTGTGGTAGACTGATTCCCATTTTCTTGAGGAGTC